TAAAAAAAGAATTGATAAATATTACCAAGTTTATTATCACACGTTCCAAATAAATAAATTGTGATGATTAGTGGAAAATGATATTTAAAGAATAGTTTTCAATGTTTTTCTTTGAAAGGCACAAATATAAAGACCGATATTCTAAAACTTTTATTACCTTTTGAATTGAAATTTTATAAATATATAAACTGAGATTTTAGTGTTGTTCGTTGTTCTAAAAAAAATGAAAATTGCACACTTAATAGATCTTAGCTAGAATTTTTAAATAATAAAATAAATTAAAGTCCAAAATTTAAAACAACATTTAACGTAGTATATTTTTTAAAGATAAATAAAAACTATAAAAGCTTACTATTTATGGGTTGCATTAAATTCTATCCTATTTTTTTGCTACTATGTTTGATAATTAGTTATTCTTACTATATATATAGATATCCGATTTTTGATTGGGAGGTGTCATTGGAAGCTTGTAGGAAAAATTTTCTAATGCATAAATCTTATGAAAATTCAACGGTCAAATTTTGATCAATAGTTAGAAAACTATTGATCAATAGTTAGTTTTTTTTTAGGCTACTAACTAAAATCCGACCGTTGGATTTTCAAAACATTTACTTCTTTAGAAAAATCGTCTTCCAAGATTTCAAATGACATATTTTAATCAGAAAGCGAATATCGTGATTATCAGAAAACTTGAATTGAAATATTTTCTATACATACGTGCTCTTACTATCTTCGTCGATTGATTACAGAGGTGTAAATTTTCAAAAATGGACAACCTATACCTCATTTTGTGAGTCTTGCCATGGGGTTTAAAAGCCTTAAATCAATTTTAAAGATCAATTTAAAATTAATTGTTAATTGTGTTAAAAACTTTTTTGTACCATATTAGGGTTTTCAATTGAGGAGGCAAATTGTCAGTTTCGATTACTATGACAGGCAAATTGGCAACAAAAAAAAATTGTAAGGCGAACTCTAAAAATCGGCATAGTTTGGGAGGTTAAAAAGAATTTCCCTAATCCAAATCATGAAGATTTAGCTTGTACTACATTTATGTAAAATTTTCGATAAATACTTTTAGTTACTAAATATGAAAATTTTATAACATTTAAGTTTTACTTTTTTCTTTTTTAGAATTATTTTTTTATAAAGAATTTTTCTTAATAGTTTATCAATTGAATACTTGATTTCCACAAAAAAAATAAAAAATAAAAAAAAGTAATTTTAGAAACACCATCTCCATAAAGATTATCAGGTTTCTTTAAATTCATAAGGAAATAATTTATTATAACATTTTTACTAAATTATTCTCTTTAAATTCATAAGGAAATAATTTATTATAACATTTTTACAAAATTATTCCAACTGAATTACAAAAAATTATTTACCAATATATAATAGCAATTATAATCATTTATCTTAGGTAATGTTCGTAATTGTATTGCACTTTATTTGAATGTACAAAATGAGAATATTTTTTTAATGTAATTTATTCATTATAATATCATCCACTTATGATACTTTTCATTTTAAGTAATATATTGCAAATGTTTTAATTAATATGCAAAATATGTTGACTCATGTTGGTATTCATAGCATCATGTAAATTGCAAAATCTCTTAACTAATTTTAACTTTAAAATAAGTATAATATTTATTTTTAAGATTTTAATTTTTTTTCTCTAAAAAAATTTCAAAAATGCATTCAGCCAAAGTATACGTGAATTCATATTTTTCCTAAAAGCATTTAATAAAAAAATAAAAATTGTCATTTAATAAAATGTTGACATTGTATATTCGGAGAATGTTGCATTACTGGTATGAGAAACTCATTTAATAAATGTTGGTATAAAATATACAAATAAGTTATTGAAATTTTTTTTTCATATATATATATAAATATATTACTAAAATAATTTGTAGCTTTATATGCTCATTGTGAGTTCTAAATAAAAAAATATATAAAAGTAATTAAATTATTTTTTTATATGTAAAAAGAGGATAATGTTATTCAGTTGATTCAGATGACCAATTAGTATTGAGTTATATATACGATCAAAATATTTACTTATTTAGTAGTACAAAAGACAAAAAAATAATGTTATTCAGTTGATTAATAGATTTTTTATTTAGCAATACATAGATATAGATGTAGATTTATGGGGTTTCTTCTCATTATCACTACATAGTTTTCCTGAAAAATGTGGTGAAAATCTAAATATTTGTTAAATTTTTTAAAAATATATTATTTTTTAATATTTAAATATAAATTGAATCAGTAAGAGCCTAAAAATTCTATACTATTTTTAAATTGTTGCTTCCATGAAACAAAATAATTAATTTATATTATGTTGTATATTATAATTAATTTAGTATATGTCTTTATTTGACAAAAAAAATTACAAAAATACTAATATTAGTAGATTATGGAAACTTCAACAATTTGACTTATCTATACTTATATAATAAGAATTAACCTTTTTCAAAATTAGTAGGTCAATTCTTAGTCAACATCCTATCTCCATTAAATGTTTACTAAAATTAGTAACTTTTATGTCCTTTTCACACTTTTTTTTTTTATGTCCTTTTCACACTAGATTATATAAATGAACGGATATTATCTCACCTTTCATTAATCTCACCTATAATTCATGTGAATTGATTGATTGCCTTTAACTTTTCAAAACGTGTGCTATCCATTGTTTATTACTATTATTATTATAGTATGCACGTAATCAGTTGATTAAATAAATTATATATTATTATTATTATACTCACCACGTGACAGTTAATTAAAATATATCTATACTTATATTAAAAGGTATACCATTTACCAGATTTAATATAAAGAAAAGTCAACAACATTTATTGCATTATTATTTCCGTATTATACAATCTATACTTATATAAAAAGAGATTCTATTTACTATATTTACTATCCAGAAAAGTCAACTGCATTAAATGTCATTACTATTTTGGTATTATAATATTTTATTTATTTAATTGTTTTATTTATTTGTTTTATTTTAAAAAGGTAAGTATAATAAAAAGATTTTAATAATAAAAAAATCAAATACCAAATAAAAATGTACACTTTGACTTATTTGATTATATTTGGTATTTGATTATACCAAATATATTCCTATTTAGTATATACATTAAATACTTACTAAAGTATTTGTTTGTTTTATTTGTCAAAGTTAAGTATAGATTTGTTTATATTATCAAATCATAAAAAAATATTAAATCCATATTGTAAAAAAAAAAATCATATAATTTTATAACAATTCTACTACACTATTTAACAATATTTTTTTTTTATTATATAATAAAATAATAATTAAATATTATATGGTGAACAACAATAAGTAAAACTGTTACTTTCTCTTATATCAAGGGATAAATTTATATGCTAAAATTAAATTTTTATTAGTATAAATGTTTTAGTGAGATAATATATTAATTATTTTACAAGCTAGCCCTAACATGCTCATATTTAATGTCTTAAAAGATGTAGAAAAAAAACTTAGAATAACTCTATTGTTTTTTAGACTTAAACGTTGATTAAAAGAGGTAAAAATTTCTAATTTTTTAGACTTAAACGTTGATTAACACCATAGATTGAGAGTTTATATTTTGTAAAATTCCTAATTGTAATAAAAAAATTAATTTTTGCTATATTTTAGAATATCTTTAAATTCATTATATATATAAAAAAAAAACTAAAATGAAAAAAGCAAGTCAGCTATATATCGATTTGTTGTACTCCTCAAATCACATTCACAATTTGGCTACAAGGAAAGAAAACTCATTGATTAAAATATTATTTTGTCAGTAGTCTTAATGTACAAGAGACTTTAAGACTCCACTTGAATATTATACAACTTTTATTGAACATTGTATAATTTTCTTGCGTATTATAAACTTTTATTGAATATTGTATCTTATAATATAATATTCTCTAAATAAATATATCTCGTGCTTTGCACGGGTCACGTACTATATATATTCCGTACATCTTTCTTTATTCATGTATATAATTATAAGCCTGGATAAATAGCCTTAAAAATGTACATCCCGTGCATCGCACGGGCTCTGTACTAGTTAAATGAATAATGAATTAATACGGAAGACTTTATCTAATAACAACAATTAAAGTTTTTTATTTTTTCCATTTTATTGTTAACCAAAAAAAAAATCAAAATCACTAATATGGTAAGTAGATTTTGAAAATTATATTTTGAACAAAAATGAAGATTCACGCAAGAGAGGAACAAAATGTAGATTTTGATAACTGAATTTTATTATTAACGATATCTTTATATTTGACATAAAATTATTAAAATTATGAAATATTTTGACCTAGAAAATGAGTAAATACGGAAGATTTGAATATGGTAAAAATATACTTATTAAAAAAAATATTTCATATTTACCATATTATATTATTTGTGCTAACTTTTATTAGCAAAAAAAATACTATAAAAAATTGAGAACTTGTCTTTATTAATATATAGATAATTGAAAGGAGAAAAACAAAAAGAAAATAAAAGGCAAAAATGGGAAGGAGGAGAACCAGAGTATGGATTTGGGGTAGTTTTTTGGAGCTAAAACTGAAGATGAGGAGAGTCCTACTGCCCGAGGTGAGAGGTTGTTGCATTGTTGTGCTAACTGCACTGCTGCCCCCACACCATGTGTGTGTGTCAGTGTGTATATAAATGA